GAATTCCCGGTTGTTCGCTGCGTTTTATTTTTAAACGGTTCGGCGACGCGGAAGCACTTCTGCCGTTCCTGGGGACCGTGTCTAGGTGCTACCCCAGGTACAGGCCCCCCCCCCCCCACAGTCTGCTCCATATCTGCCAAACGGGTTGCCCTCAGTGGCCCCATCTGCCCTGTATCTGCCCCCAGACTTCCTGTCTGCTCCGCACCATCCCACGTCCCCCAGGGCCCCCCCCCAGGACCCCTTTATCCGACACGACCTTCCTCAGTCAGGGTTATGGCCTGCGCAGGGAGGCCGCGTTCTCAGACACGCGCGCGCCCCCCCTCGCCCTCGCTCACACGCACACACACGCGCCGCTGCTTTTAGTCCATCAGCTGCTGAGAGCTTGCATTCTTGTCTGGTCTGGTGGCCAAAATAATGCTGATAATTGGTGTGACTGCAGCTACCCTGACCCATGCATACCCCCCCCCCCCCCCCCCTGCTCTCGGGTGTCTCTCTGACCATAGGGAGGATTTGGGTGGGTGGGTGGGTGGGTGACTGGCCCCCGGCCCCCTTTTTTGGTATCAGTGGTGCTGGTTTGTTTAAAGCAAATTAGTTCAGACGAGGTCACTGTCCATACCAGGATTGGTCAACTGCAGCCAAGCATTTTTTCCTTTCTTTTCAGTTTTTTTCCCCCTTTTTTTTTAGGTTTTAGCAGCAATTTGAGCAATATGTGTCCCCTGGTGCATTCTGGGATATGCCACACCATTACCCAGCATTGTCCTGCTCTCTCCCTGCCACCACAATTCTAATCAAGCCCCCCCTCCCCACTTTGTGCAATTACCCAAAAAGCTTTTTGGTCCCAAAAGCTGGCGCCCCCTCACCCCCACCCGTGGGGCTTTCTTCACTCATTATCTTAATTTGAGCCCCCACCCCCAGCTACGGAGCTGATTGCAAGCCTTTTGAGCAGCAGTCTTTTCTAAGGTATGCCCCCCCCCCCAATCTGACAAGTACCTTTGAAGTGCCTGTTTATCTCTGTGCCTTAAAGTTCCCAGCTTTTGATAAGGTGCCTGATTGCACTTTCGGGGGTAGCCCCCCCCCCCCCCCCCGGTCCTCCATCCAGGCTTAGTGTTTTTTTTTATAAGCCGATAGTATAAACATTTGAAAGGTTCTGTGTTTTTAATTATGTTGGGCTGGCAGGACCGGGCCATCATCCTGGGCGTATTTTTAAGTCCCTGTGGCTCACGCTCCTGGCAGAGGGACCTCTGTGTTATTTCTGGCTGGGCCTCCTGAGGTGCGGGCAGACACAGCAGTGGGAGAACACAGTGCCGGTGGGGTGGGCGTGGCCTGTGATCCCGAGGCCCCCCCCCCACGCTGGGGTGGTCCTGGACAAAGGGCGGGGAGGGGGTGATTGTACCCGTGTGTGTGGTTTAGTGTAGGCTTTACTGAGTGAGGCTAAAATATATGTTGTGACGTTATATATATATATATATATATATATATATATATATATATACACACATTTTACATGCCACTAACAGGGTAAAACCATTTTTTTGTTCTCTTTTTTTTTTTATTTTAGATTTTTCTTTTTTGCTGCTGGGGTCCTGGACAGGGCACACATACTCACACACCGAGGATAATTCAGGAATTCCTGTTTACCTAACTGCTTGTCCTTGGACTCTGGGAGGTTGCCAGGGGACTCTGGGAGGTTGCCGGGGTACTCTGGGAGGTTGCCGGGGTACTCTGGGAGGTTGCCGGGGTACTCTGGGAGGTGTGAGGTTACCCAGCACACCTTCAGGGCCCCCTCCTTCCACGCAGTCCGCATCCTCATCGCCATGGATACACAGCAGGGAAACTTTTCTGATGATGTCATTGGGCTATTTTTTTTTTTTTTTTATTTTAACACCGTGGAAGCTACCCAAGTGGGCGTATCTGTAAGATCCACAGGGGGGGTGGTGGTGTGTGATGTTGGAATGATTGTCCCTGTTGTGTATATATACGGCGGAGGGGTTGCGAATAGTTTGTTTCATTATTCTTTTTAGGAGTCTTTGACTTCTGTGAGTATGCAGCTTACCTCCAAAATATCATTCCATCATCCATCTACATTTTTGGAATCGTCCTAACAGTCCCCCCCCCCTTATGGTGGCCCCCTCACTGCACCAGTCTGCCCACTCCAGACTTTTCTGTACCAGTTAGTGTGCAGGTCACCTGGCAGTGCTGACGCGTGCCCTGTTCTCGCTCGCTCTCCTCATCCCCGCATCGCTGTGTCCGGCAGAACGCCACAGACAGCTCGTCCAACTCCTCCCAGCGCAAGGAGAGCTACACGCAGCCGCTGACGTCGTCCTACAGCTGCGAGCCGGGCCGGCACCGCTGCCTCCTGGGCCACCTGCACGAGCAGCACCGTCCCTCGGATCAGTACTTCCCCGATCAGGTGCGTACGGGGGGGGGAGGCAGATCAGTCTTTGGCCCCGAACTAAGCTGTTTGTAGCCGATTCCAGTGTTTTTCAAATGTCGTCGGAATGTGGGAATATTAGAGGTCTGGAAAAATATATATTTTTCCCTCTCTCTGCCCCCCATCAGCCCCTCCCGAGGTTCCCCCGGCGCGTCTGGATCCGGGACGACGACGACGAGGAAATCGTTCGCATCAACCCGCGGGAACGGCGCTGGCTGGCAACGGGCTACGAGGATTACCGGCACACGGCCCTCCCGCGGGACCGGCTCGGGCGAGCCGACGGCGGCGGCGGCGACGCCTATGTGCACTTCGACAAGGCCGACGGCCACAAGCACGACTACAGCTACCCCTATGCCCCCGGACCAGGCCGCAAGGGCGACGGGCACGCTGTGGTGGTGGGCACCCAGCCGTGCGCCAAGGCCGACGGCGAGCTGCTGCGCTGCGTGTACTGCCGCGAGGCCTTCGAGCGCGGGGAGAACCGGCGCGGACACTGCCCAGACGCCCCGGACCCCGTGCGGGCCTGCATCCGCCGGGCCAGCTGCCTATGGTGCGCTGACAGCCTCCTGTACCACTGCCTGTCAGACCCTGAGGGTGACTATTCGGACCCGTGCTCCTGCGAGCCCGGCGACGAGCGCTTCTGCCTGCGCTGGATGGCGCTGGCCGGCCTCTCGCTGCTGGTGCCCTGCATGTGCTGCTACGTGCCGCTGCGGGCGTGTCATCGAGCCGCCGTCGCATGCCACTGCTGCGGTGGAAAGCACAAGGCCGTCAGGTGAGCCGGCCACGGCGGGGGGGCAGCCCTCTGACTTTGACAGACCGACTTCCAGTGGGGGTCGAGTGGCTTGAAATTTATTCTTATTATTCTTATTATTTTATTATTATTATTATTATTATTATTGTTTATTATTATATATTTTTTACACTTTGGTCCCGCACGGCCTCTCCAGCCTCGTGTGCCTGCAGTCACGCTTTACACGGGTGTATCTGGTAGCTGTCCACATGCAGGGTCTGGGAATCCCCGCGGTTCTTGCCGGCGTCCCGGTTTTCAACCCGGTTCCTGTTTCCGAGGCCCCCCCCACCCCACGGCTTTGCCAAAGGAAGATTAAGCTGGATCCGTCTTGCCAGCAGAGGCACTTAAGTCAACTGGCAAATTCTCCTCTGCTCTTTAAACAAAAAAAAAATAAATACATTTAAAATTCCACCCAAGACTCTCAACCTGCTAGGGTGTATATGTGTGTGTTGGACGTGTCCCCACGTGTGTGTGTGCGTGTGTGCACATGCGCGTGTGCACCAGCCCATGCATATGTCACCGTGGCCTGCACAAGGTGTGGAAAAGAGACGGCAACAACACGGTGGTGTTACCACGGTACCAACACTAAGTAACCGCGGCCATGGCTGCATGAGCTCGTAAAAGACAGATTTTATTTTTTTTGTGGTGAGGTTTGTGTTTTGATGTTTCGTATCCAAAGATTACTTTTTATTTATTTTCCAACTCTGTTGAATCACCGGCCAAAGGGATGTGGGGTTGTAAGAGGGGGGGGGGGGGGGGGGGGAATTGATAAAAAAGCACAGCCCTGGATCTCATTTGTGATCGGGATATAGGGGGGGGTCTTTGCTTTGCCCGCTCCAAAGTTTAAGGTGCTTTGTGTTTTTACCACGTATTTGTTTGAGTCGTGGACGGTGGGTGAGAATGCTGTAAAATTCTGTTTCATCCTTACAAACAGAACTTCTGTGTGAGATAATTATACAAACAAGTATTGAAAGAAAGAAAGAAAAAAAAAAGACGGATTATGGGAATTACGAAAATAGTATTGGGTCTTCAGCAGACAACCAGTTTGCCAAATGACTCGTCCGTTTCAATCCTCATTTTCAGTCCTTTGTTAAAAAAAAATAGGAAGCTGTGATTGGCAGCCATATGCCTTACCGAGTGTCCTTTGCGGAATGCGCTTAGGGAATGGCTCCTTCAGTGGCCCCTAGGGGACACTGCGGTCCGAGCTCGGAATATAGGAGAGATTATGTATTTTTATAATGTACCAGTGTAACCGTTGGCTTGGTAATAACTTTCAACCCAGAAGCGGGAGAACACAAAAAACAAAAGCAATTACACTTAAAAGCATCGCACAATCGTTTGGGGCGGCATAGACAGCGCTCCCATTAGGGTTCAGGGCCTTTGTCTCCTAGCTGTTTGCTAAGCCCCGCCCACAGAATGCTGCAGCAGTTTGGCTCACGCCGTTTGTACGACGTCACCGGCCGTTAGGCGACAAGTACGTGCAAGGGATTGGCCAGCGTCGGCCAAGGTGGTCCAGTCGGAGCGCAGAGCCGGCTTGCGGTGCCGCAGACCGGCCGCGACGTCTGTGTCGTCCAGGTAATCTTATCGGTGAGATGGACCAACCAGAAACACGGTGGGACTGAAACTCGTGCTGTAAGAAGGGTCCCGTGCACCTGGCCGGGTTTGGCAGCACTCGCTGACACACGTGCGGGCCACACCAAGCTAGCTTCGCCCGTTGTTTCGTCATAAACCGAAGTTTTATTTTTCTATCTGTGGTAAGGAGCATCCAGCCAGAAGCCTTCCGTCCGTTTTGTACAGTTCAGCTACCGCATACGCGTAACTATCAAAGTGCCTGAGCACGAAAACCCCCAACAAAATAAATCCTGTTTTTTAATTAGTTTTGTTTTTTACAATCAGCATTTTTACCTCTGTAAAAAAGGCAAAAAATGATATATTACAAGTGTATGATGTACATTTTAGTTATTTTTTTTATTGTTTCTAATATGTATGAATAATGTAGCTCTTGCTTGGACAGATAAAAGGACTGTGTAAATAATACCGATATGTTGTTATTGTAAATGGGGGGGGGGGGCGTGTCCTTCCCCAGGAAGAGTTGCTTCACCTTTTCATGTTCTTCATGTTCCAGCAGCAAACAGGCTCCAATTAAAAAAGAGAAATCCACTGTGCACGTCTCC